TTGCTATGACAGCAACTCTGGGATGAGCTTCGAAGAACCAAACAAGCCAAGATCATGCCAAATCATCAACAATCAAATCCAGCTAACTGGGTTAGCAACATACGAAGAACGGGCCCCTGGTCACCAAAGTTCACTGTCCTCCAGAGTTTAGTGCCAGTGCAGAAGGAAATACACAGTTTGATCAGGGTTTGAGCAAAATGCAGCACTCTTTACCAACACACAGCTGCTCAGAATTTGCAGTGTTAAATTCAGTTATAAAGACAAAGAGACACAGATGAGCCATAAACCCCAATCCCAGTATAGAGGGGTTCAGTGAATGTGGTGTTGAATGTGTGTAAGTGTGTGAGTGTGTGTGTGTCAGAGACGCTGTAAAAGGACAGAGTGCCGGCCGACCAGTCCAGATACACTCCTACTCTATTAGAGCAAGACGAAGGGGCTGATATGGTATTGCTTACATTATTGTGACAGACATTGGATCTGTTTTTAGAGTAGAAGAGACTCCAGGATTTGTCATTGTATCCAAACCAACAGTCACTCCCACCTTTCCTGTTGATTCCCTTATATGTCACTGATATAACAACCTCCATTCCACTCCATTCAGCCTCCCAGTAACAGCGTCCAGTCATACTCTCTCCACACAGAACCTGCTCATGGTGATCAAATCTCTCTGGATGATCCGGATATGACTGCTTGTCTTCAACACGCGTTGCCTTTTTGTTACCTTCAGACAGGATGAGTTTAGTGTTTGCTGTGTTTGGATCCAGTGTGAGATCACAGGCATCTGAACAAACACAAAAAAACATGATAAATGTTTGCAATAGATTACAACACCTATAATGTGTGTGAGAGAAAATGAGAGACCTACATTTTCTCAGTCCTGGTGTAAGTCTAAAATAGTTTCTATGGTCCAAACTAGAAAGAGACAAATACACACAAAACAAATGGTAAACTGATTGCTTGAAAAGGGCTTATGGAATGTATATGCACTCTCAAAGAGGATGTGTTAATTAATAACACATTTTTGTGTTATGGCCATTTTAAGCAGAGGTGTAAAATCCAGGTTCAGAAAGTAAAAGTCCTCCACAGTATTTTGTTCCAATCACCTTGGGGAAAAGACTGGGAAAAAGACATTAAATCTCTCAAGATCTGATTAAACAAGTCCACAAACAGCATCACCAGCTTCACATCACTAACTGGATTGACTTTATTTTGTGCCTGCATAATATCTTATTGAGAATTAACAGAGATTTAGATGTTGATTTTTTATTGGTCAAGAAAAGAAGAAAACACGATGCCATCATAATTGTGGTCAAGGTTCGCTTTAGTTTGTCTCTTGACTCTTTTGATAATTTACAATAATTTGCTTCTAAGCAAATGCAATATTGCTTCACAGCAAACATTTGTGCATTGCTGAATCAAACTAGCATTGGGTCGTTCTTGAACGATTCGTTCATTTTGAACGAATCTTTAATGTGACTCGGGAAGAAAGAGTCGTCTCGGGGCGTGATTCGTTCAGTCGCGCATGCGCAACATCCTATAGGTTCTGTACTATTGATTAGTTCATATCTCGAGTCTTCGGGTTTTTCCGAGTCATTCTTTTCTGTTCCTTATAGCAGTTTTGTATTATTTGTAGTGTGATCAACGTTTGCGTTAGTAGTAGATGTGTTAGGGAAGTAACACGTAACATTTTAATTGTATTTTGCTAAAATGAACGAAATGACTCGAAAAAAGATTCGTTAATTTTGCTGAACGAGACTCAAAGGTCCGAGTCGGTAAAATGATCCGAACTTCCCATCACTACTTCAAACCTTGAAGTAGCAGACGAGCTTATACTTTCTGCCTGTAACTCATGATTAATGAACATCATGAAGTGCTCTCTCTTTGGTTTATTGACAAACATTCAGCTATTACAGAACTGCAAAAAAAAAAAAAAGTCATATTAAACAAATGCCACTGTAATGCTTAAATATTGAAAGAGAAAAAAAAGTAAAAAAAACAGTCTCAGCTCAGGCTTTTAGACATGAACACTTATCATATGATCCTCAACAGTGGTGACAATAATTATTCATACTGCAGTGCATGATGGGAGCTTTTACTATGGTGTTACCCAGCATGCATTGCAGCATGAAACATTTTGTTGATTGTCACCATTGTTGAGATTCATATGCTGGTTCTTGATGTCTGTGTGTGTCTAAATAGTATTGGAGTGTCATGAGCATTTTTTTAATGCATTACATAGATTTAAAATTCATTCACTATAACTATTAGAGCAACACTTTCCTTGCATGCTGTAGTTTCACTGGGTTGATTATGCAAAACCTAAACGTATAAATGAAAAAAGAAAAAAAGAGATTTGCTTGACGTAGGGTGTCGTGGGGATTCGTAAACGACAATGGGTGTCGGGACACAAGATTCCATCGTTTCAGCTCGTGTAGTGTGTCATTGTGGACGACAACCGATTCCGCGTCTGCGACGCTTCAAGACATCACGACAGAAAGACTAGCATGTTTAATTTTTTTTCCGTCGTCCACGACGAGTTCTGTCACATTGGTGACGTTGACCAATAGCAGCACAGAAGCTCTTTCATACACAGGTTTCAAACATGGCGAAACGAAAGAGAGATGATGGTGCTGCTAGGTGGAATTATGAGATGGAGGAAAGGTTCGTGGAGCTGTGGCAACAGTACTCCTGCCTGTATGATGACTACCACGACAGAACAAAGAAAGAAAAAAGCCGGCGAACTAGCAATGTTTACACTCTAGTTTTCGGAAGTCAGTTGCTAGTTCCGCCTTCTCAATGACATCACACGCATCATTAAAGTCAGCACGCGATGAATAGTTGGGAAGCAACGTGTAGTGTGATATGTTTCTTGTCCACGACACGATTTTAAGAATCAAAATCGTGTAATCTGACACAGTGACTATCATGACCACCAAAAATATCATGTAGTCTGAACCCGGCATAACAAAACAGTCAAGGGTCAAGAGCCCAACTAAAGCAAACACTGATCTACCTGATGGTGGCATCATTTTAACCAATAAAACATCAACATCTGATCCTCTGTAATTCTCAATAACAGCAGGTGTTCATCACTAATGCACAATCATCATTTAATTAGTCACTTAATTATCTCATTAACTTTAACTATTTGGGGACTTGGGATTTGACTTGAGACTTGCGAGACTTGCTAAAGGAAAGAGCCCGTTGGGGCCCGTTCTTCGTACGTTGCTAACTCAGTTAGCTGGATTTG